AAAAAAAAAGTGCGACTGTAGTTTGCAGGGATGACAGCCCACATTAATCGGTGATCTCTGAAACCACAAAGTATACGTGTATCAAATGCGAAAGAAAAAAATACACAATCATTTTGTGACACACAAATCTGATCCACACGGTTACCAGATCAGGACTATTTGGTCCAGAAAGATAATCATAGTTTTCTCATCATGTATACAGGGTATAGAGTTTAACAGAGTTTTACCAACCGTTTGTCGTCGTCCAGATCTCCGGTCGGGATTTGATATATCATCACAGAGGGCTTTGTGCATCTCACGTGCACATAGATTTACCTTGAACCAGCGACAGTCCAAACTATTTTGCTTTACATTCTGCCATTCTGCAACAAACCCCAACTTCATTTGAAGTACCATCCTTATAATAAAACCATTGATCCAAAAGCGTCTTGGATATACTCCAAGAAAGCCACCTGTATCATCAGGTATCTACGCGCATGCAAGAAAAAAAAAAGAGCAATCAAAATGTGGGACCCCCCCCCCACTGGGAATCCTCATAGCTCCATTTGATTGGGTATAAAATGCACATCAATTTTCTTTTTTTAATACAAAGACAAATTCTCTACTGACAATTATATTCAAAGTTTTAGGAAGTAGTGGTCTACGTAACTGGCATGTGCAATGCGGGGCTCAAAGCGGAGCTCATTGCTGGATTTGCCTTCGCAAATACCGGGTGGCCAGCTTCGAGAGTACCCGGTGCGGCGTGCTTTGTCTACGCGTGCCACTTACTCACCTTAGTTGATCTTAGTATCATCAAATCAAAATTGGAAATTTAAAAAAGTAAAATGTCCTAATTTGTTGTCTCTGTCCTCCCAGACCAAGCATCGCCTCTAGTATACAGCGGGCGAATTAAATGCCTCCCCCCCATAATAACAGTAGTTTTATATGGGTCAATTTTGTTGCTTGGTCCACAGTTTCCTCACTATGCAGTCAATCGAAATGAGACGACCATCAACGAACGTAGAATTGCCAACACATGCGAGCCACTGCCACACTGTAACGCGAAAAGAGAAGTGAGAGCTGCAGCCGTGGCAATCATCTTTGTGGGCGGAGGATACTTGCGCAACCTTCTTCCAACATCCTACCACTACGTTTGTTGGTGGTCGTACTTAGGAAATCGTTGACCAAAGAAAATTGACCCATACAAAACTACTGTTATTAGGGGGGGGGTATCATTTAATCCACCCGGTTAAGGAATTCAGTTAGGATGAAACAGATTCATGAAAAAGGGTATTAAAACCACATTAAACCCTTTAATTAAATAATTATGCATTCTATTGTAAACCCTTTCCCTACTTCACTGACCGAGTCAGTCAATTGAGATACACCTCATTATTAACGACGGAATGGCGGTCAGCAAACCGACAAACACCGCATTCCTCTTAGTCTAGCTTGATTTCCTCATGTCTTCTTAAATGACCACCCCAAAACCAGCTGAGAGGTGAGTAACGTGAAATTAACTGACCATAGGGCATAATTAAGACTGAGACGAATAGAATTTTACTAGAATAATCGTGCCATACTTCAGAAATTCAAAATAATCAAAGCCTACCAATATTTTGGCAGACCCAGCATCTCAGTTTTGGCAGTGTATTTAACGCGTTATTATTGATGTGACTTACATTTGGTGCATAAGATGTTTAATTTTTCCTCAGTGGAAGCTAGACTTCCGACAATAAGTGATGATAATTGATCTACTGCGTATTAACAAATCAAAACACCTAGCCGGTATTAAACGTTCTAATCAGATGCAGAAGCAAGTATCAAAACCACAGCACCAGATAGCATCATCAACGCGTCAACGTGGTTCAATCACTGCCTCTTCAATCATT